GAACCGTTTTCACTTGCGTTGCGATTGCATATGCCTTCCCGTTCGTGGCGAGTCAGCGAGTGCAGAGCCTGCTGTTTTATTTTCTTTAAAAAAAACACAAAATCTTGGCCCAACTGGCTCAGGGGTTGAGCATCAACCCAAGGAGGTCACGGTTAATCCCCAGGTCAGGGCGCAGGCCCGGGTTGCAGGCTCCATCCCCAGTGCAGGGCGCGCAGGAGGCAGCCGGTCTGTGATTCTCTCTCATGGATGTTTCTGTCTTTTTCTCCCTCTCCCTTTCCCCTCTGAAATGAATAAAGATGTTTTTAAAAATCTCCAAGTTACAGAGAGGGAAGCTGAGGGTCAGTGGCTCTCTCCCATTATGGATGTTCCTCTCTCTCTCTCTCTCTCTCTCTCCCCCTCTCCCCTCTCCCTTCCTGTCTGAAATCAATAAAAATATATTTAAAAAATCTCCATGTTACAGAGAAAAAAAGCTGATGTGAACGGAAGGGGTCTTTATCCCGTTATCACATCAGGACAATGAGCAGATGGAATGAATGGCCTGGCGGGGGCCCTGTCCTCTCCACCCGGAATGGAGCTCTCCCATCTCAGGCCCGGGCCCCGCTGACCCAGCCCCCGGGGGGGGGGTCCCCGCGTGGGAGCCGGCCCTGCCTCGGCCTCCACCCGCGCCCTGACGCGCGCGCCACTGTGCTCCTTCCAGGAGGTTCTCCGTGCAGCGATGTGCCCGCTGCCACCTGGGCATCTCCGCCTCCGAGATGGTCATGCGCGCCCGCGACGCCGTCTACCACCTGAGCTGCTTCACCTGCTCCACCTGCGGCAAGACGCTGGCCACGGGCGACCACTTCGGCATGAAGGACGGCCTGGTCTACTGCCGCGCGCACTTCGAGAGCCTCCTGCACGGCGAGTTCCCGGCGCCGCTGAGCTACACCGAGCTGGCGGCCAAGGGCGGCGGCCTGGCGCTGCCTTTACTTCAACGGCACGGGCACCGTGCAGAAGGGGCGGCCCCCGCAAGCGGAAGAGCCCGGCCCTGGGAGTGGACATCGTCAATTACAGCTCAGGTGGGTGCCCGCCGCCGCCCTCCATCCCTAGACCCGACAGGGCTCCTGCCCGTCCTGGATCTGGTTCCCAGAAGCCCCTCTCCCTGCTCATCCCTGTCCCTGGGATGGAAGGAGGAAGAGGGAGAGGGGTGATGGGGATGGAGAAGGAGAGAGAGGAGGGGGAGAGCGACAGGGAGGGAGGGAGAGAGGGGACCCTTTATTTAAGTTGTGGCCAGAAAAACACACTCGTCGCCAAGGGTTCCAATGGCTTCCCCCAACAGGCGAAGTCAAGTTCTGGTTGCCCATTAGTTAACGAGCCCATTAGCGTCTGGCTCCCACTGCCAGCCAAACAGCCCCCCGGGCGATTCCTGGTGGAAGCCACTTTATAGATCCTGGAGAAGGTTTCCCTAAATACAGAAGAAAAAAAACAACCTTCAGAGCCCAACCCCCCGTCAGCCCTGGGGGGGTGGGGGCTGGGTGGGGGCAGAGGCTGCAGTTGCCAGCCGAGTTGGTTAGGAAAGCAGTTGGCAAGAGTGTGGAAAAAGCCATCCCTGAGGTTGGTGAGAAGTGCCGGTGGAGGGTGAGCTGGCGGCTCCCTCCGTAGGTAGGTCAGGCTCCAGGCTGGCCAGCTGTTCGCCTTGTGATAAGCCCGGAAGGTGGAGAGAGCCTGAGGGTGAGGCCCACTGGGGGGTGGGGGGGTGGGTGTCTCCGTGTCCCGGATGCTCTTGGCCCTCCACCCACCTCCTCTTTTAATTGAAAACAAAAGGCAGGCCAGGCCACCGTGCGCCTCTCTTCCTTGCCGTTGGGGACACACGGATCAGTCTCCATCTCTCTCACTCGCCCATTTCCTATTGTTGGTAGCCTGCACCCCCTGCCACCCCCTAGTGAGGATGGGGACAGGCCTGGGGACCCCAGTCTCACTCTGCATAGGATGGAGGCCCCAGCCACTGGGGAAAGGGGTTCCAGTGGCCCTGGGCCAACTTTGGGGAGTAAGGACCCGCCCTGTGGATGTGACTTCCCAGGCCCTGGTCCGGCTCAGGCTGGGAACCTCACAGGGGAAGGGGGACTCGGCCTAGGGGAGTCGCTCTGTTGGAAGGGACCTTGGGGACCACGTTGTGGCAACCCCACTCTGTCGCCATGAGCGGGAATATCAGCCGGGGCGCGGGCACCCCGGAGCGCACATAGATGTCTAGTTTTCTCTTCCCCCAGCGACTGGTAGGGCACCTGGTCTTTCTTCTGGCTCCACAGTGTCCCACCCACCAGGGACGTGGCTTGTCAAGGTCAGGCAGCAGGAGGGAGCGGGTGGGAAACCCGAGTCCTGCTCCGAGGAGCCCGGAGTTTCCAGGGTTGGACCCGGTGGGTGCGCGGGCTCCCCAGGAGAGAGCGGGGATCGGGGCCCAGCGCGGCTGCAGCTGTCCCCATGGTTTCACGCCAAGGTCACTGGGCGAAGGAAGAAGGCGCCCACCAGGCAGGTTAATGTCGGGTGGCGGGTGACCCTGGTTTTGCCAAACCCGGTAGGTAGAGGGTCTCAGCTTCCGGCTCTTCCCGCCGCGCTCGGCGAGGGCTCTGGTTCCGGACCACTTTGCCCAGCAAATGACTTGGTGTCATTGGGTGCGTGGCTCCTGGGCAAGACAGCTGGGCAGGAATTGTTCTTTATTAATAGACGGTGACATTGGAATCCGGGTCCACTCACCAAGGCTCTAATTAGAGAGAGAGAGAGAGAGAGAGAGAGAGAGAGAGAGAGATATCAGCGGGAATCCCTGTAGGGTGAAGGACAATTCTCGCTCAACGGAGGCCAGCCTGGTTTTCGCTCGTTTATTGAGTGGAATTGGCTGAGTGTGATTTTGCTTAGCATCTTCCTTCATGTCAGGAAGACGTGAGGAGCTCTAAGAGCGGTAGAACGTTGCTTCTCCTACTGCGCTGAGGAGACCCAGCGAAGACCAACCTACTCCTTTAAAAGAATGAAAGGTTCCTTCCATTGGGGTCCTCCGTTTGCAAACTGGTGCCGCCACCAGGCTGTGGAGGAGGGTGATGCATCCTCGATGGAGGAGGAGGAGGAGGAGAAGGAAGAGGAGGAGATGGAGGAGGAGGAGGAGGAGGAGGAAGAGGAGGAGATGGAGGAGGAGGAGGAGGAAGGAGATGCTGAGGCCTCTCTCCCCCCCAGGAGTTTGCCCCTCACTGGACCAGATGCCTCTTCGGTTCACCCGCCCCATCCCTCCCGGACCCTCCCTCCTCCCCCCAGAGACGAGCGAGCACATAGCCCATATTTCTCTCACATCAGCTGGAAAGAATCTGGAGAAACGGGGTCCAACATGCCCGTCTGAAAATCCCCCCCCCACCCCCCCCCGTTCGTTACAAAAATGCCTGTGAGTTTAAGGCCAGTTTGTCACAAAACTAGCGAAAGGGAGGCTCCGGCGAATCCAAAGCGCTCCGAGGTATTAAGTCAGATGGAGCCGCCTCCGGCGCTCGCTCTCCTTGGCGTTGGCCTCACTCGGGCCTGTGTTGCCATCTCCGCTTCCGTGTGACTAGCGCATCTCCGGGAGAGTCACACTGATACCAAACAAATAGCGTGTGGGCATTGGGGTTGGCATCCTTTCCGAAACGCGGAGTTGGAATCTGCTAATGAGGCGAAGACTCCCAGCGAAGATGCGAGACTTGGCAGGGATCGGTTCGTGCCAATGCCTTGCGCCCAGAATATTCCTGTTGCGGTTCTCCTTGTGCAAAGAGGCAGCTATTTTAGGAAGCGACGTGGGAAATGTATTTGGAATGCTGGGTTGAAATGAACCCCCCCTTCCCCCCGGGGTGTGTGTGAAAAGATATAGTCCAGGACAGGCCACTCTTACTTGGATACTGGAGCATTCATGGAAAGACGGAGCGTTCGCGGCTCCTCAGAATCTCCCTTCCCAATTTCCGAAGCTCCTGGGAGCCGCTCCGTCGGCTTGGCACTGACCCCTAGTGGTCTCCCAGGGATCGGTTCCGACGAGAAGGTTCCTTCAGAACAGGAGAGCGCGCGGGTGCCCGTTCCGTGAGCGGCCGCACCGTGAAAGAGTCAGATCTTCTCATTAACGCGGCGCCAGATGTGCGCCCAGAGGTGTGTGTGTGTTTAAGACAGTTTTAAAAGAGAGATCATCTCATCTCATAAATCGGGGGGCGGGGAGGGAAGCCCCACGGCTTCCGAAGGGGACCCCAGGGACACACACGCCATCGCGGGCGAGTTTACAGGATGCATTTGCAGTTACCGGCAGGTGATGCGGGAGGAGGCGCCGAGCCAGGCTGCGGGCGGGCGAACTAGATCGCTCTATTAGGCTGAGATACGCAAGTGAGAACTCGGTTGCCGAGCATCCCAGGGAGCCGCATCTATGCAGGAAAGGGCTCACCATCTCCTTGCACCCGGAACTGGGTTCTGTGAAAACAAGGGCCATCCTGGCGTTGGACGCCCTGAAAATTTCCGACGATTAAAACCTCAGCAGTCAGGGAAGTGGAAGCGATTTTATCAAACCTCCCCATCATTTCTGTTCACAAGCTTCCTTTGAAAGGCGAATGAGCACGGAGATAGGTTAGGAATCGAACTCATTTCTAAGAAATAGGATTTGGGGGAGAGGGAGAGAGCAAAGGGCCTTGTTAAACACCAGTTAAGTCTCCCATCCCAAGTGTAATATTCCGTTCGACGTGTTGTTCAGGAGACGTGACGTGTTACGTGTGACAGGAACGCAGTCTCGTTGGCAGAAGCCGGGGTGACTGAGGCGGGCCCCTCTATAATCCGGGGGTGAAATACAGCCCAGTGAACTGGAGATAAGTAGAGTTTTATGGTGGCCCCTAAGATGCTGTTTCACCCATTTGAGGATATAAAAGTGCCATTCTGCCGGGCATTTGAACTTGACGTCGCCCCACTGGGCTGACATCGGACACAATTCCAAGTGTCTTCTCGGTTGTCGTATCTCCCGGCATATGCCACCCTTGCTCGCGGAGCTTAAAAAGTCCACACTCAGCATTGGGGTGTACGTGTCTGAGTTAGATTCCATTTCCAGTTGACTTGATTTTGCATGAATCGTCCCGGACAGTGGTGTTGATGGCCAAGATGCAAAGTCTGCATTGCACGCTGTTGAGCCCCCCGGCCGGCCTTGTGCTTGACGTAGGAGCCTCAGGTGAACTGGTCTTTCCGGCGTCGATGAACTCACCTGCCCCGTTACACCTGGGCTGGGTGCTCTCCTCCTTCTGTATCTGATGGAAATATAAACAAAGGAGACGTGAGTTCATGCCTGGTCCCGAGACACGAGGGAGAATTTCTTGTTTAAATGCGTTTCGTGATGTGGCTGATCTCTCGATGGGATACTGCTTATCTCCTGTGTTTCCGTACATAAGAGGATTTATTGAAAATGTCTTTTAGGAAGTAATTCTAACCACAGCATCACAGGCAGGTAGTATTTTACCAAACAGAATGGAAGCGCTAATATTAAGAGATGCCTCGCTTCCTTCAACATTCAAGTTTCTCCACACACACCCCCCCTCCAGTGACATGATCAGGTTGATTTAATTTTTTTTAAATTTATTATTATGATTTTAAAAATCCTTATTGTGGATAATCTTACAGATGTTCCCCTCCCTTTTCACTCCATGGCCCCCCTTCACTGGGTTCCCAACCCGCCCCAGGGCTTCACCCCCCCCCCACTCTCTGTGTCCATAGGCAAGATCCTTGGTTCACCTCTGCCCTCCCCCCCCTTCCCTCTGAGATTCCTCACTCTGTTCCATTCTTCCAAGCCTCTGATTCCATTTTATTCACCAGCTTATCTTGTTCATTCGATTTCCTGTTTATTTTGATTTTTTTAGATTCAGTGGTATTGCTTGTCATTTTATTGTTTTCAGGTATTCTGTCATAATGCACTAAAGTTCAGGCTGATCAGATGGGAATATTCGTCGGATAAGTATCTGAAATAAGCTTTACAGGGGGAAAAAAATTGCCACGGCCCTTTAAGCTGGGAAGTTGGCCGAATCCGTGAATATCTAGCAAGATGTTTTCGTTTTGTGATCATGTTTGCCCTGTAGAGCCGGTGGGTTCTTGGAAATGACCTTTTCAATGCACAGCTTTCTGCCCCGGGGACCATGACCTGCAGGCTGGGCTGGTTCGCCCTCAGGAGGGCTTTGCGAGCAGCGAGCGACGCCCGCTCTGTGCCAGGCCTGCCAGGGCACAGCTCACGCCCTCTCACGCCCGCCAGAGCCACGGGGCGAGAACTGGGTCTGGAAATGAGGACTCTCTGTGCTGTGAGCTGTGAGCTGTGAGCTGTGGGGAGCTCAGGCCTGTGCCCAGTGCAGACAAGCCTGGGCTCATGCCTCCCGGGAATATGCATTAAAGCAATTCCAAGGGAAAACTGTGCTCTGCTAGGCACAGCCTCCACGTTAACCAGCTACAGCCAAAAAGCCCTCAGAAGCCATATTCCTGTGATCGCATAAGCCATCTACGCATTTCTATTGTGTAACTTTCCCCCTTCTCCGGGCACTGACTTCTTCCTGATGGACAAGGTTGTAGGAAGTTCAGAAAAGGCTAAATATTGGTCCCCGGCCGGTTTTGTTCAGTGGTTAGAGCATCGGCCTGTGGACCGAAGGGTTCCGGGTTTGATCCCTGTCAAGGGCACGTACCTCCACTGCAGGCCCTGGTCAGGGCGCGTGCAGGAGGCAACCCATCGATGTGTTTCTCTCACATCGCTGTTTCTCTCTGTCTCTCCCTCTCTCTCTCTCTCTCTCTCTCTCTCTCTAAAAATCAATGGAAAAAATATCCTCGGGGGAGGATTTAAAAAAGAAAAGGCTGAACATCGGAACTGACTTAGCCGGTGGCTCCCGAAACCCTCAGATTTGAGAGCTTTGAAATGAGCGGCCGGCATGGACCTCGTGACAAAGGCACTGGCTTTGGGGAGTGCGTCTCGGTTCACAAGTACAGACCGAGCGGAGATGCGGGGGCTCTATAGACTGGGTGCCCAGGGACGTACATACATTAGGACGGGGTGGTTTTCTCTTCTCTCTCTCTTTTGGAGATGTCTCTCACTTCCACACTTGCAGCTCTTCCTCTTACGTTGTCCTGGCAACCGTGAGGCACAGAGGAGCGGCCCGGAGTGTTTTCCTATGACATAAGCTGCGGTTGTGGCCACCTCCGCAGGCCGGTTGGGCTGACTTTGGCACCTGACCTGCTCTGGTTGCCTGGAGACCCGCCTGATGGACAGACCGCCTTTTCCGCGGCTGTTTATTTTTTCATTTTATTCTATTTTTATTTTTTTTAAATATGTTTTATTGATTTTTTTACAGAGAGGAAGGGAGAGGGATAGAGAGCTAGAAACAGCGATGAGAGAGAAACATCGATCAGCTGCCTCCTGCACACCCCCCACTGGGGATGTGTCCGCAACCAAGGTACATGCCCTTGACTGGAATCGAACCTGGGACCCTTGAGTCCGCAGGCTGATGCTCTATCCACTGAGCCAAACCAGGTAGGGCTCATTTTATTTTTAAAACATTTTTTTAAATTGATTTCAGAGAAGAAGAGAGAGGGATAGAAACACCCATGATGAGAGAGAACCATGGATGGGCTGCCTCCTGCACCCCCCACCCCCCCCTACCTAGTGGGGCCTGAGCCCCAAACCTGGGCATGTGCCCTGATGGAGGGGGAGGGGGGAATCGAACCCGTGACCTCCTGCTGCATCGATCCCGTGCTCAGCCCAGCCCCCTCCTCCTCCCCACGCGAGGGCCGTCCACTGAGCGCTGGTGGGTTCCCTGTGCCCCCGACAGGTTGCAACGAGAACGAGGCCGACCCCCTGGACCGCGACCAGCAGCCCTACCCGCCCTCGCAGAAGACCAAGCGCATGCGCACCTCCTTCAAGCACCACCAGCTGCGGACCATGAAGTCCTACTTCGCCATCAACCACAACCCGGACGCCAAGGACCTCAAACAGCTCGCCCAGAAGACGGGCCTTACCAAGCGAGTGCTGCAGGTAAGACAGAAGGCGCCCCCCTCCGCCGTGCACACCCCCCCAAAACCCACCCCCCTGTCCCCCGGCCAGGGCGCCAGGTCTGCCCCCTGCTGGCTGGTGCAGGGATTGCCTCCACCGCGTCTCCTGAGCTGACCTCAGTGATGCTCCCACAGGGGGTGCTGAGCTTTCTCGGGGGCTCCCCCGAAGGTGCCCCCAAGAGAGACCAGCATCTTTAAGAATGCAGCCAGGTCCCCCTGCGCCTCCAGAGATGGAGAATGGGTTCCTCCAGCCAGCACAGCTGCCTCCCTGGTCTGCAGGCCTCAGGGATATTATTTGCACAAGCTGTGGCTTTATTTTTTATTTTTGTTATTTTTATCTAAGCTGTGGCTGTCGAGGGGGGCTTTCACGCTGGGCTCCCTCACAGACTTGTGGGGCACCTGCCTGGCTGGCTTCTCAGCAAACTTTGGCAGCCCGCTCACATGTTAGGTCCACCCCCCCCCCTTTTTTTTTCAACTCCCCCAAAGCCACCGTAGGGTGCACGTCCCAGCAGCCCATTGGAGCGGGTGTTTTCTCATGGGAAGGAACCACGTTTCTAGAAAACCAAGTATTGGGGTTTGGATCCTGACCTCAGCCGGCTGAGGCTCCCCACCTGATGAAAGAAATGGCAGGGGGTTGAGATGGCTCCCTAGGCCCCCCCTTCCATGTCTCAGGGGTAAAGGACAGGCATTTAAACACCCCACCCCACCCGTTTGGGGCTGTTTGAGGCTCGGTGGCCTATGAGGGTTTCCTTCCTGTGCTGAGAATACCTCCCGTGCGTCTGTCTCAGGAGCAGCCGAGCTCTGGGGGAATGATGCTCGCTTCCTAGGAGTGAGTCAGACTCTGGCCACGGCCGCCTCTCCTCCTGCTCAAAAGACAACGGCCGAGGAGGCTGGTGCGCTTTCGGCCCTTTCTCTCCGGGCCTCCGTTTCCAGGGCGTCTCCACCTAAGCTCCTAGGTCCCAGGTGGCCCTTGTTAAGCCTGGGGGCGGGGATACAGGCAGTTGATAGAATATCTATAGTATTCATGGAAGGAATCTATTATTTTAAAAAAGCGCCAAAGAAAAAAAAAGCAAATAAAAAGGACCACCTCTCCCAAGGAAAAGAAACCATTGTTTTATTTTTTATATTTAAAAAAATATGTTTGTTAAATACTTTTATTGATTTCAGAGAGAGGAAGGGGGAGGAAGAGACAGAGAAACATCCATGATGAGAGGGAATCATTCATCAGCTGCCCCCTGCACGTCCCACACTGGGGATCGAGCCCGCAACCCGGGCCTGTGCCCTGATAGGGAATCGAACTGTGACCTCCTGGTTCATAGGTCGACGCTCAACCACTGAGCCATGCCGGCCGGGCTAACATATGTTTTTATTTATTTATTAGAGAGAGAGGAAGGGAGGAGGATAGAGAGATAGAAACATTGATGAGAGAGAAATACCATCAATTGGCTGCCTCCTGCTCGGCCCCTACTGGGCGATTGAGCCTGCAACTGGGGTACATGTCCTTGACCAGAATCTAACCTGGGACCCCTCCAGTCCTCAGGCTGACGCTCTACCCACTGAGCCAGACCGGTTAGGGCAGAAACAATTATTTTTAAAAAGAGAAATATATATATATATTTTTTTAAAAGGAGCCCAGCCAGTGTGGCTCAGTGGTAGAACATCGACCTGTGAACAGAGAGGTCACAGGTTCGGTTCCCGGTCAGGGCACATGACTAGGTTTTGGGCTCCATCCCCAGTGTGGGGCATGCAGGAGGCAGCTGATCTACGATTCTCTCTCATCGTGGATGTTTCTCTCTCTCCCTCTCCTTCTCCCTTCCTCTCTGAAATCAATAAAAACACATTAAAATAAAAAATGTTTAAAAAGAGACAACACCATTTACTTTACAGAATTGTAAGGATAAAAAAAAAGAAAGAATGAATGAAAGGAAGGAAGGAAGGGAGGAAGAAAGAAAGAGAGAAAGAAAAGGGGGGGGGAAAGGAAAGAGAAAGAGACAGGGGGAAAAAAAAAGAGTCTAAAATTAAACCGCAGTAAAGACACCCCTTGGGATTGGTTTGCAGGTTTGGTTCCAAAACGCACGAGCCAAATTCCGAAGGAACCTCTTGCGGCAGGAGAATGGGGGTGTGGATAAAGCCGAGGGCCCGTCGCTCCCAGCGCCGCCCCCCGACAGCGGCGCGCTCACCCCGCCCGGCCCGGCCGCCCTCCCAGACCTGGCCGACGCCCCCCTCACTGTAGTGACCGCCGTGCCCTCGAGCATGGACAGCCGCGAGCCCTCCAGCCCCTCCCAGACCACCTTAACGAGCCTTTTCTAACAGTGGTTTTCTTTTTTTTTTCCCCCTTTTTTAAATGCCCCCTCTTCTTTCGATTCTGATCCTAATTATTATTATTTTATTATTTACAAGACCTCCCCCCCTCCCCTCCTAACCCACAAGATGTTTGGGAAATTTAAACAGCTCGGTGTGTAGCATCGGCAGCCACGTGACAAATGGGTTTACAGCCCCATCTCCTTGACAAAGTGTATTTTTTATTATTATTTTTATTTTTTGTCCACAAAGTGTAGTTGGATTTTTGGTGGGTTTTTTTTTTTTTAATTAATCAGATCATTCAGTCGGCATGGGGACTTTTTGAACCCTCCAAGTGCCTCTTAAAATTGTATGTTACTTATTTCCAGAAATCTCGGAGGGGGAAAAAAAAAGAGAGAGTGGTCTTTTGATGGGCAAATATTCATATTCCCGCTTAAGTGATTAGGTTAATAAAGTGTCAGGCGGTGAAAACGCTTTAGGAAATCTTGCAATTGTATGTGTACTTAGGGAATTTTGAAGACGTCCCGTTTAAAAAAATTTTTTAAACTGGAAAAAAAAAGATGTTTTGGTCACTCCTTTTTCTTACGGATGAGGAATATGATTACACAAAAGCACGAACGGTAGCAGCTCAAATAGGAGAGATTCATTAGATTTATGAGGCTGAACGACTCGGAAATGTGACTCTTAGGGTTGTACAGCTTCACAAAACTCCCCCTAGCTCCTTGCTTTTCAACATTTGGACAATACTTAAACTCCCTTCGTACCCACAAAACTCCACATAGGACTTGAAATCCTACATTTTCTAACCTTCAAAAGCTGCAAATGGTAGTTGTAAAACCATTCTGTCCAAATTAATCCCCTCCTCCCCCCCCCCCGCCCAACCCCGCAGGGAACGTGGAAATAAGCAAAATATAATTTTTTAAGGAGTCGAAAAAAAATCAGCATAAACTTAATTCATAGCTTTATGGATTGGCTTGAGCTGTCCCATGGTATTGTGTCTGGCATTCTCCGTGAATAATGTTTAAAAAAAAAAACCAACCAACTTTTAATAGACGAATACCAACAATGAGAATTCTTTGATGTTCTGTTTTATTTTACTTTGGCACAACTCGATATTATTTGTCAGAAGCAAACTTTTCTGACATTAGAGATTCAAAGTCATTAACGTAGAAAAACTCAGAGGCCTCGTGGATGCTGATCTGAATATATTTCCTAGTTTACGGTAGCGTTTTTTTGTTCTTTTAATTTAAGCTAAAATCGTAATGGTCTGGGCAGTGGTGAATGTCCATGTGTAGGCTTCCGTTGTAGTTAAATACCAATTAGAATGTGGATTTCCTAAAAAAATAAAATAAAATAAATAAATAAAATAAAATTTAAAAAAAGGAGTCAAGATATATGTCTTGCTTTAGTGGATTGTTAAGAATAACTTTGCACATGTTCCCCACTTCTTGGACCCCTGAAATCTCCTCTGGTGGTCGAAGTGGCAATTTCATAGATTTTTGTTTTTTTCAAGGTGTCCTGGCTGTTGTATAGACGTGTGGTTACATATTGACAGTTCACTGCCCACATTAAAGTGCATTATCGTAACTTTTGCTCAGGGTCTTTAGAAAATTAGCACAGAAAGTAGCTTATTTTTTAAAAAAAAAAAAGAATAAAGATGATGGGAGATAAGTTAACACTGTAACAGAAGGAAGGCGTGACCGCCATGATATACCTAGCACCCGTGGTATCATCTCCGATGGGGCGGAAATCTTGACTTTCCCTAGTTCTATTCGATGTTGGGCATTTACCACTAACCAGACCAAACAACCTTGATAAGGCTGAGATGTTCTTCATACACTTTTTACAGGTAAACTTAGCGATACTTTTACACATGTTGTTCTCTGACGGAACAATCTATGGTACTATAGATCTACTTTATGAAGTAGACGGATTTATAACTCAGTTCTCCTACGTGCCTTAATGATCTCACTTAGAAGTAAGTTTGTGAAAAAAAAAATCAGGATGATATGTGTTGTTTGTTAACTTGTTGGAAGCCCTATGACGCCTCACTAATTTTGTACTGTTTTACGTCTTATTTCCTGAAACTCTTTTTATGGTGTAACCCGGTTAGAGGGACGAACATGTCATAGAAGGCGGTGTGCACTCTTTCAAATATAGTTGATAAATCCAATAATCTTATATATTGAGCTTCGTGTTTATAGTACAGTAAGTGGTCTAGCAGAACTGTCCCTGTTTTCTTTGTTTATGGATAAATGCATTGTATAGAAACTATTCCCCCTAAATATTTATTGGACCAAACAATTGTGATTTATCCTATTAAATTTGTGTGAATAAACCATCTTGAATCTAAGGAGTTTTATTTCCCACAAGTTTTATTTAAAGCTTAACCGGACCAATGTGTTTCCAATACTATACAGTATGTAAAAGCTACTAAAAGAGCAATACAAACGCTTTTTAAAAAAAAAAATAGTCAAACATACAAAGAGTTTTAAGATCTCCAAACTTCTGATTCGCTTGAAATGTACACCCCATTGCAGTGTCATTCTACGTGGAGTTGCCTTTGAATCTATTTTCTTAGGATACAAGTAATGCCCCATAGATTTGAGTCCGCCCAAGTTTTGGAATTAAAAAAAAAAAGAGAGAGAGATAACTAACAGATAAAGTGATTGCATGAAAAGAAACCTTAAATATGATTAAGATTTAATAGTAGGTCTATTGAGCACCAATGGATGTTTGTAAATCTAAATAGAAATTGACCCCTAAAAGCCGAGTTGCTCTGTAGTTAATAAATTGTCACTATGATTTTTTTCAGGGAGAACAAATCTTGGGGTATTACAGCCAAACATCCCGACGATTGAAAATTCCCTAAAGTATTAAAAGAAGGGGAAAGTTTGATCGGAAATCCACAGCAGTGAAGACAAAGACAAATATTAGGTTATGCTAATCACACACTCTAAAAACCGATTGAGCCAAAAAAAAAAGAGCGAGAGAGAGACTTAAATGTCATTTCCTGATGGTGAACAATAAATAATTCTGTTCTTTATGATGCTGAACACACACACGCGCGTGTGCGAACACACACACACACACACACACACACACACACACACACACGGGGGCTTCACGTGATGCGGTGGCTTAAAACGAAACGACAAAGACCGTGTATAAACAGAGCCACCGGCAGCCGTATGCCCCCCTCACCTCTGAAGCCAGTTATCCTCGGAAAAGCAAACCCCGCACACTTGACAAGCACCGTGCAGTCCCCCCACTTCCTCTCACCTGCTTGCTCACGTGTCCTGGTCCCACCTGTGAATGGCATCTTCCAATTGTAAAGTCAGAGCCACCCCAGGCTCACTGGAGAGAGTAGGGAATCACCCCCCACCCCCGTCACCACCTCCCCCCTCCCCCCGTAATTCTAGTCTTCTTGTTTATTCCTCTGGAATCAGAGATCTCTGCATGTACCTCTCCACCCGCCACTCCCGCTGTGCACCTCTGTATGAAGACTTCTCTTTGCTGTTTCCTGTATGATAAGTAGCTTTCGCGAATAAACATTGCCTGCGATGCGAGCAGAGTTCACTGTATGCGAGGGACACACACAGGGTGGAGGTGAACGTTGCTCGCCGTCTCCAGGAGGCGGCGCCCGCATCTCCAACTTGGGAGACGTTAGGAGCAGAGTTGAGTTGGGTTTGACGGTGGAGGTTCCGGGCTGGTAGTCTAGGATGCCATTGCTTACCTGGTTTTGAACGTTTCATGGATCCATGGACGTGTATTAAAAAGGAAAGAGAAAAACACACACACAAAGAAACCCAAAATGACAAAACAAACGTAGAATCGAGGGGCACGTCAGATCTCAGCAGCTTTTTTAGACGGTTAGGGTGACACTTAGAGACGTTCTGTACGTCTACATGTTCGCTATGCAACGGGCAGACGGATCGAAGTATCCAAATTCATTCTTGAACTCCGCAAAGACCCAGTCTTTGCGGAGTTCAAACTACATGACATGACACGCAGCGGGAGCACGTGGAGAGGGGAACACGTATGTAGGAATGAGGTTTGTGTTGTTTTTACATTGTTAACGGGGGATGTTGGAAGAAAGGATTTTCTAACGATTGCTATTTAGCTGTATATCCAAAGCAGATGTGAGACACGCTAGCGTCTAACTTTCCAGGAAATTTTTCATGCTGATGAAATTTTTATTATATACAAATGAACCCTATGTAAATGATGTAACTTTTACGAATGACAGACATTAAATATTTCACTGACATGTGTTCTCAGAACTTCGAATGTTTTCTTAAATGCTTTCACTTCCTGAATACCCCCCAAAAAAGACAAAGAAAATGTAAAGAGAGAAAAACTCACTGGTTAAAAAAAAAAGAAAAAAAAAAGAGCAACACACCATGACACGTAGACAATTCTGAGCGATCGCCAAGCGTGCTGGATACTTATGCCTCGTTGAACCCCCCACTCCTGGTTTAGTAACTAAGATAGATTTTCGGATCCGTTTCCAGCCAGCGTGTGGGAGTCTCTGCCACCTGGCTTCCTCCTGTTGCCCATCTTCTCCGTCACCTGGGGCAGTTTTGGTCAGAAATACTGTGGCTCCTCACTGATCCTACAAATTTTTGGGTACGTGTCTGGCCTGTGAGATGCAGGGAGAGGGCAAGCGCATCATTGAGGACATGGGGGGGGGGGACGACGACAAAATAATACGTATTTGAAGCAGCACATTTTAAAATTATTTTTACTTTGTAAGTACATTTTTATTGATTTCAGAGAGGAAGGGAGAGGGAAAGAGAGAGACGGACACATCATGGATGATGAGAGAGAATCACGGACCGGCTGCCTCCTGCACGCCCCACGCTGGGGATGGAGCCCGCAACCCGGGCATGTGCCCCGACCGGGAATCGAACCCTGACCTCCTGGCTCATAGGTGGATGCTCCACCCCTGAGCCACGCCGGCCGGGGGAAACAGGCCCATTTTTTAAAAAAAGCAAGAGAAAGCACGC